GTCTCTTAGAGTTATAAAGTATATGAGGAAATTTTGATAATATTAACTTCTAAAAGTTTCACATTTGAGATTCTGTGTTTCCATTGTATATGTATAGGTTGATTAAAATTCATTATAATGCTTATTTACTCTTCATTAATTTCACAACTTCCTTGTGTCCAGCCCTATTCTAGGCAATAAGAATGCAGTAGTGAATGAGACATCTAGTTTATTAGCACTTTTTGCAAATTTTTATTCTAGTGATATAAAACAATCAGTGAGCAAAAGAATAATCTAGCCTATAGTGGAAAAAAAATCAGAAAAGTAGTGCCTGCTTGGAGCAGGGATTGGTGGAGAAGGAGCATAAAATAACTTTCTGGGATAATGATAATTTCTGTAGGCTTTGGGCTACACAGGTATGTACATTGTCCAGACTCATTGAATACACTTGAGATTTGTACATTTCATTGTACATAAAAGGGAAAATCATGTAAAAATAGAATAAATATAACTTACATGTGAGTTCTAAAGAATAATATGTTAAATATCCATTAAACCACATTCATTCTAGGAACTAGAATATTATCGTTTATTTGCACTTACATATGTGATTCTCTCTAGTTATTCCTCTGCTTATCGCCAATTATTTTGTATTAAAATTCATTACAACTCTTACTTAATCTTTATTTTTTTAACTTTTTTTTTTTTAGAGAGAGAAAAGAGAATTTTAATATTTGTTTTTTAGTTTTTTTCGGTGGACACAACATCTTTGTGTGTGGTGCTGAGGATTGAACCCGGGCCGCATGCACGCCAGGCGAGTGCTCTACCGCTTGAGCCACATCCCCAGCCCCTAATCTTTATTTATTCAACAACTTCCATGTGTAAGGCACTGTTCTAGGCACTGGAGTACAGTAATGAATGAAACATTCATTTATTGAATTGGTTTGACATTGTTTTTTGCTTTTTTATTTTTTGACTTCTTAAAAAATATTTATTTTTAGTTACAGGTGGACACAATATCTTTATTTTATTTTTATGTGGTGCTGGAGATCGAACCCAGTGCCTACGGCATGATAGGCAAGCACTCTACCCAGCCCCTTGACTTGTTTTAATGTATATCTTGACCATGCACTTTTCATTTTTGCTTGTTTTGAGCTTTACAAAAATGGTTATTTTATAGCTTACAAGTCTACAATCTACTGTTTTCACTGCATTGTATTTCTAAGATTTATCTATGCTGTATAAAGCTATAGTCATTTATTTTAAAAATTGAGAACTGTATTCTATAGTGTATACATATGTTTTCTAAAATCCTGATTTTTTTTTTAAATTAGGCAAACATTTATTGAATGCCTGTAGAGTTCTAGGTTATGTTTGATGTGGTGTGATATTCATTTGACATCCTTTCTGTTCTAAATCGTTTGAGTCATTCTAAAATGTAAAAAGTTATAACAACAACAACAAAAACACATATTCTAGATAAAAACACATCAAGCTGAACATACCTATAGAATATAAATACAAAACAGAGTAGGTTAAAGCCTGTGGTTTCCTTGTGTAGAAGCAGGTGCTGGGGTCCAGAATGATAAGYTTTACTGACAGCCATTGCTTTCTTCTATATGGGCTATTGAAAAGGGATCCTTCTGCCATATGCTGCCTGGTGCTATAGTTTTGGATGAGTTGCAGGCTTAGGAATTCTAGATRATGCAGAGTTTAAAACACCAAAATGGAGCCAAGCATCCCTGCTTTGTGATTGAATTTACATTGTATATGATGTCTCTTCCTGTCAGAAATTTTAACTTGTTGTTGTGAGACTTCATGTTATATATGGATAGCTAGGTTGACCACAAACAAGAAGGGGTGATCACAGACTACACATGTGTTTCAGGGGTAAGGAAACAGTGCAATGAGCTTGCAAACCAAATTTCAAAATACATAAAGAATTCTAATGCAAAGAAAGATAGTCAACAAAATTGAAAATTGAAACACAAGCTGAATATTGTAGTGCACTACTGTTGTCCCAGCTACTTGGGARACTGAGGCAGGAGGATCACGATGTTTTCTGGCATTTCTGGATCACAGGTTCAAAACCAGCCTGGGAAACTTTGTGAGGCCCTGTCTCAAAATAAAATAAAAAGGGATGGGGATATAGCTCAGTGATGGAGTGCTTGTGTTACATGCACAAGGCTTTGGGTTTGATCCCCAGTATTACAAAACTATATAAAAAAAGACTGAAACATGAATTTACTTATAAAWTTTTTTAAAGTAAGCCTTTAATTGAAGTGTGACATAAGTGTATAGCTTGAAGAGTTTTCATAAGATGAACACATTTGTGTTAACCATTCTGACCATAATAGATTATTACCAGCACCCCAGTGGTCTTGTGTGCTTCTTGCACCTCCTACCAGTCAGTCTCCTTGTCCTTCCAAGGTGAACATAGTCCTAACTTTTGTCACCATGGGCACGAACAATTAAGGGATGTGCAAGAGAACTTGAGAGGCTCCAGGGTTAATGAATAACTCTGCTAAGAAAAATTAGAGGGTAAGATAAAAAGGTGACTTTTGAATGCGTGGTTGCTGAGAATTTATCTGGAATGGGGGGAAAAAAACAAAATCCTCAAGGCWTAAGGTTAAAAGTATATAGTAAATTTTGATTAAGATAAATAAAAATAAATCTACACCAATATGATTGCAAAGAAATTATAAACATTGCTGTTAAACAAAAAAATATTAAAATGACTAGATAGAAAAATATGATTCTAATATGATAGCGGACTTTATATCAACAGATGCCATAAAACAATATAGCAATATTTTACTGTGCTGGGGAAAAGAACTATAGAATTTTGAGTTTGAGGGCAAAATATTTTTTAATGACTACAACTTAAAAAYCCACTGAAACTTACTGAAAGATCTACCAAAAGAGATATTTACACAGGAAGAGGTAAGCCCAGAAGGAAGATTTAGAAGTCTAAAACAGTGGTGAGCACAAAGTGATATAATTCTAGCAAATTTGCTCTATAATACTAATAATTTATTTTAATTGACTTTTAAAAAATTGAACTAGTTTTGTTGATCTTTTCTGTTTTTCTAGTTCTTATTCATTTATTTCTGCTCTGGTCTTATTATTTCTTTACTTATAACTTTGGGCTTAGTTTTTTGTTTTTGTTTTTCTAGTTCCTTGATCTATAATGTTAGGTTATTTGAGATCTTTTTTGATGTGTTTATTGCTGTTAACTTCCGTCTTAGAACTGCTTGGGCTGTATTTAATTGAATTTCTACAGTTAACAAGAGTTAATAGATTACAAGAAATGGTTTTTAAATTATATATTTTTGAACAAATTAAAATTCTTTAAAATTTTGCACATTCAGTTGCAGATGGACTTCAAAAATCTTGTGGTTTTATATCTGTTCCAACAACTGTTAGGTTTTTGTTTTATTTTGCCCACTGCAAGTTTCATGGGGTGGTATTTGAATAACTAAGCATTAACTCTAATATTTTCTCCAATAGAGTAATATTCTCGATATGAACATAGAATAAATTGAGTAAGTTGCAATGTACTTATTCAGTATTTTCTTTGTATCTGTATGACTTAGAGCATTGCTCCGCACATAGAAAATACTTTGAGTTTGTTTGATATTTTTCATATCCCTTCCCTCCTGCCTATGATTATATCTGTGGGAAAGGTTTTCATTTCTCTTCATGACTCTTCTAAATACCAATCTCATCTTTTGGCTGCCAGCTCAATTCTGGTATAATTACCCAGTTAAATTTCTAAATGAAAACGTGCAAAACAGTAGTCCTTATACTTTTCACCTTCCAAAGTCAAGGGGCATTGTCCTTCTCACTTTCTTATTTCAGTTTATGGTTTTACATATGTCCTAAGTTTGAACTCTGAACATCATCTTTTACTCCCTTAGCTCCCTCCATATGTTGTAGCATCAAGTCTTGTTTTTATAGTACTTCTAATTCAGCTATTTCAGTTAAGATTCTTGCTCCTGTTTGAACTGCTGCAATAATTTTTTAAAAATGTTAATTATATCACCTTTCTAATTTGTTGTCTGTGGAATCAAGTTTTAATTCTTTGGCCTGCCATTTAAACCTTCCTTTCTTTAATTTTGTACTTATAAGTTAGGATTGCATTAATTTGCAAGTAACAAGATGTCTGACAGTAGGTATGTGATTTCTGGCACAGATTCAGCTGCTTAGGCCTGCTAGGTGTTTTATATTGGCCTTTCCTTCATGTCTGCCTCATGGTGTTGTGGTGACTGCTCTATCCTAAATTATGGTCAGATTCAGGTAGAAAGAAGGTGCAGAGAAAAAAGCAAAAAAGATCATGCCAGCTAGGTCAGCCTCAAAGATGGTCCTCAAAGAACCATCCAATAACTTCCACTAAAATCTCATTTGATGAAACATGTTCATGTAACTGTCCATTTGTGGGTAAGTACAATTTTGGGGAGGCACCTAGGTATCTCCAATAAAACTGAGATTCTGTATCAAGGAAAAAGAATATTGATTGAGTAGGTCACAAACAGTCTTGCCACAAGTATGCATTTGTGTTTTTAATCCTTTCCCTGGTGGTATAACTTCTCATACATTGCAATTCACCCCAATAAATTACTGCACATGTCTTGTAGCTTCTTACTCTTTAGCACATTTAGTCTCTTAGAATATGTTTCTTCTTCCATTCATCTAAATACAATCCATTTTTCAAGGTCAGTTTTAAATCTTTTTAATGAAACTCATTGGTGATTCCAGCTTGAATGTTGGTGTTCTCCTGTAGACACCACTAAGCAATTGTCAGAGTAATTCAGTTGTTGTGTAGTCATGTTTCTTCCGCTGTCTATAATTGATTTTAATGTTTTTTTTTGTTAGTATTGCATATTTATATTATGATTATGATCTGATTTCTTGCACTGTGCTAAGGGCTTTGAGGGTCACTGCTGTCAAGAAGACTTCTTTGTGTATGAGGGATAATTTATTAATATCACTTTGATTTGTAATTTTTTTTTCTCTAATAGGGCAATGTTCTGAGAAAGACTCTGCATGGGAATGGCTTGCCTTATGATGACAGAAATGGAAACAACATCCACATCTCCTGTACATCAGAATGGTGATATTCCTGGAAACACTAATTCTCTAAAGCATATAGATCCAATTCTTCAAGTGTATCTTTACCATTCCCTTGGGAAAGCTGAGGGAGATTATCTGAAGTTTCCAAGTGGAGAGTACATTGCAGAGGAAATATGTGTTGCTGCTTCTAAAGCTTGTGGTAAGTATTAAAAATCAGCATTTTTTCTTTGTACTGATAGATCATTGCTTTGATTATGCTACTCCAGTTAAGTGCATATGGATAATGCAGGTGTGTTTTAACATGCATAAAAAAGGATAACAGTACTAGAAGAGAATTTAAGGTGACTTTTCCTTAGGCTGCTTATAAATATTTACTGGGCATATTTTAAAGGCCATATAAGGTGACTAAAAAATCCTATTATGAAATATCTCATAACTTAATCTATTTTTTATTAGAGTATTTTAATTGTACATAGTAATTGAGTTAATTTTGACAAAATCATACATGAATGAATGTTGATTTACTCTGTTTTAGTCCCTGGTGCCCTTCCTTTCCCTCTTCTCCTCCTTCCTCCTACTCTCTTTCCTCTACAGAGCATTTATCTATCTATCTATCTATCTATCTATCTATCTATCTATCTATTATTTATTTATTTATTTATTGGGCACTTTATACATGTGCCTAAAGGTGGAATTCACTATAGTATATTTATATATGCACATAGCATGATTTTGTTAAATTCATCCCACATTTCCCTATCTCTCCCATCCCTCCTCCCTTCCTCTCTCTTTCTTCCACTCCACTGATCTTCCCTATATCTTTATAATATCTGATCCCTGGCCCCCCCCACCCCCTTGTTTCTCTTATTTACTTTAGTTTCCACATATGAGAGAAAACATTTGACCCTTGATTTTCTGAGTCTGGTGTATTTCACTTAGCATGACAGATGCCATAATTTCATTCTTTTTTATGGCTGAGTAAAACTCCATTGTGTGTGTGTGTGTGTGTGTGTGTGTGTGTATGTGTATGTGTGTATAAAGCTTTTGACTTATGAATGTTGATCTTGTATTATGCTACTTTACTGAATTCATTTATCAGTTCTAGAAGTCTTCTGGTGGAGTTTTTTGGATTATGTTATTAGCAAAGAGAGATAATTTGACTTCTTTTCCTATTTGTATCCCTTAATTTCCTTCTCTTGCCTGATTGTTCTGGCTGGAGTTTCAAGAAGTATATTGAAAAGAAGTGATGAGAGTGAACATCATGTTTTGTTCCTGATTTTAGAGTAAATGCTTTTAGTTTTTCTCCACTTTTTAAAATTTTTTTTTTGAGAGAGAGAGAGAGAGAGAGAGAGAGAGAGAGAGAGAGAGAGAGAGAGAATTTTTAAATATTATTTTTCAGTTACCGGCAGACACAACATCTTTGTTTGTATGTGGTGCTGAGGATCAAACCTGGGCCGCACGCATGCCAGGCGAGCACGCTACCGCTTGAGCCACATCCCCAGCCCCTAGTTTTTCCTCCATTTAGTATGATGTTTGGTTTGGGTTTGTCATAGATAGCCTTTGTAATGTTGAGGTTAGTTCCTTCTATCCCTAGTWCCTTCAGTATTTTTAACATGAATGGGGCTGGATTTTATCAAAACCCTTTTCTGCATCTATTGAAGATGCTCATATGATTCTTATCCTTAATTCTATTTACATGGTGATTTGCAGTCATTGATTTGCATATGTTGAACAAACCTTGCATTTCTAAGATGAAACTGACTTGATCATTATATATTATCTTTTTGATGTGTTTCAGAATGCAATTTGCTAATATTAGGAATTTTTGCATCTATATTCATCAGGGATATTGATCTATAGTTTTCTTTTCTCAGTGTATATTTGTCTGATTTTGGTATCAGGGTTTTTCTGATTTCATAGAATGTATTTGGGAGTGTTTCTTTCCTTTCAATTTTATGGATTAATTGAGAAAGAGTGGCGTTAATTTTTCTTTAAAGGTCTGCTAGAACTCTGCTGAGAATCCATCTAATCCTGTTTTTTTTTGTTTTTGTTGAAGACTTTTAATTGCTGTTTCAATTTCATTACTTGTTATTGGTCTATTTAGGTTTTCTTTATCTTCCTGGTTCAAGTTGGGCAGGTCATATGTGTCTAGAAATTTATCAGTGTCTTCTATATTTTCCAGTATAGTGGAGGTTAGATTTTCAGAACAGTTTCTCATGATCCTTACATTTCAGATGGATACAGATCCAGATACAGGAGATGATATCTCCTGTTTCATCTCTAATTTTGTTGATWTAGGTTTTATCTCTCTTTTTTTCTTGGTTAGTTTGGGTAAGAGTTTATTAGTTTTACTCATCTTTTAGAAGAACCAACTCTTTGTTGCATTGACCCTGTGTATTTTTTTTTTTTATTCTCTATTTCACCAATTTTGACTCTGATATTTATCATTTCTTGCCTTTTGATTTTGGAKTTAGTTTTTTTTTCCTAAGGTAGAGTGTAAGTTTATTTGGAATCTAGTTTTTAATGTAGGCACTCAATAAATTTTCTTCTTAGTACTGCTTTTATTTTGTCACAGAAATTTTGATGTTATATCTCTGTTCTCATTTATTTCTAAGAAGGTTTTGATTTCTCTTCATTTCTTTTGTGATCATTTAAAAGAGTATTATTCAATCTCCATGTATTTATGTGTTTTCTATTTTTTTTGCTGTTGATTTCTATTTTCATTTTATTATGGTCTGATAGGATGCATGATATTATACATGTTTTTTTTAAATTCGCTAAGACTTAACATTGTGACCTAGAATATGGTCTATTTTGGAAAAGGTTCTATGCGCTTCTAAGAAGAAAATAAATTGAACTCTTTTGTAGTGAAATATTCTGCAGATGTTTGTTATAAATAATATAATCCARTGTTATTGTATTGTAGTCTATCCAGGATTTCATGTCAAGAAGTAATTTTTTTTTTTTTGGTAATTAGGTGCACTGACCTTTAGGGGCATGTATATTTATAATATTTGTATCTTTGTTGTATTGTTCCCTTTGCTAGTATGTAGTAGCCTTATTTGTCTCTTCTTATTAATTTCTGATTGATTTCTGCTTTATGAGATATGAGACTAGCTATTCCTGGTAGCATTTGTACTATATTTGTGTGAAATATCTTTTTCCATACTTTTATTGTCAGCCTATGAGATGAGTCTCTTTCAAACAGTTGGATCTTTGTTTTAGACCATTCTGCTAATCTATGTCTTTAAATTAGGGACTTGAGACCATTTGCATTCAGTGTTATTATAGATGCTTGTTCCTGCCATTTTTTTTCTATATTTAATTCTGACTTGATTTTCATTTAGTTGGTTGCTATTCTAGAGATCTTCATTTATTTGGGAGCTTTGGGGTTTGTTTTTGGGTTTCTCTGGATACAGTCTATCTTTGAATATTCTTTGTAGTCTGGCTTATTGGTCATTAGTTCTTTTATTCTTAATCATGAAAAGTTTTTATTTACTCATAGATTTAAAAAGAGAGCTTTGTTGAATATAGCAATCTTGACTGGCAATTTGTTTTTTTCTTAAAGCTTAGAATATCTCATTCCAGGCCCTCTTTGATTTTAGGGTCTGAGTTAAGTAGTTGAAAGTGAGCTTTGTTGGCTTGCCTCTAAATGTGAACTGACATTTTATTTCTGCAGCTTTTAATATTCTTTCCTTAATTTCTGTGTTAAGCATTTTGATTATGATGTGTCTTGGAGAGATTCTGTTTTGATCTTGTCTATTTGGGAACTATATGTGTCCTTTATGTGAATGTCTCATTTCCAGTACGGGAAATATTTTCTGTTATTATCTCATTGAAGATATTCTTAATGCCTTTAGTCTATATCTCCACATTCTCTTCTATTTCAAAGACTCTCAGGTTTGTTCTCTTGATGCTGTCCCAGAGTTCTTGTATATTCTGATCATGGTCTTTTATTGCATACTGAGTATTCAAGTTCATATACCATGTGTTCAAGGGCTGAAGTTCTGTCTTCAAGGTCTGATGTTCTGTTTTATATGAAATCTAATCTKTTGGTGATGCATTTAAGAGAATTTTAAATTTGATTCATTTTGACTTTCATTTTTAGGAATTCTGATTTTTTTCATTATCTCTATTTTTTTATTGAAATAGTCTTTCATTTCTATATTCTCATAATTTGTTCCTTATACCTTCTTTTAGTTCATTGGACATTTTATAAATAATTTTTTTGTAATCTTTTCTGGAATTTCATTTACTTGCATATTGTTGGGGTATTGTGAAAAAAATTTTTTGAGTGGAGAGACTTATTTGCCTGTTCCCTCATGTTTTCATCCATCAATTGAGATGAAGTCCCCTTCCCTATCTTCTTTGTTCTGGGACTTCTGTCTGTTTTTTGATGCGTGAGTAGATGTTTGGAAGTAGGACTTGAGGTTCCTGCCTGRTCGTTCCTTCCTGGGGCCTGGTTAATGTTTTGATTTTTTTGTCTCCCCTATTTTATGTGTTGAAGTATCACCGAAGCTCGGGTGGAGTTAAGTTATAAATGAAACGAGATTCGCTGTTACTTGACTGAGTTGTATTGCTTGGTAGCAGGATCTCGTTACTTGAGCCTTTAATAAATCTTTCAAAATTAAAATAAAGACAAAACATTTAATTGCAAAAAATTTAAAATGGTGAAATATTAAAAAAATTAAAAATTCTTCATGAGAAATAAAGGGCTTGTTTCCACTGAGGTTATCAGAATTATTGGCATGAATGAATTTTCATTTTTTGAATTTATTTTTGGGCTGTCTAACCCTTGGCTTAAGGGATAGGAGTTCCATCTTTTTGTTCCTTATCTAGCTGCCAGGCACTGTGGCTAGGAGCCAAAGCTGGGTATAGTAGCTCTCAGCTTCCTGTCTCCCCGTATAGGGTGGGATAGAATTGGGAGTGCCGACAAATTGTGTACTTCTGTAGTGGGGGTGGTACAGAGTTCTAAATTGGAAGTTCCAGTAGTTGGGATTTTGTAGGTATTTGAGATTTGATTCACACCCTCTGTTGCTGGGGAGATGCCAATCTCTGTAGGACATCTGGGTTTTGGGTCCCTCCCATGAATTATAATTTTAGAGTCTAGAGAAACTCTTTCTATCTGTGCTTCCCTCCCCTCAGCAGCTGTGCCTGCTGCTGACAGGAAGGCTTTCACATCTGAAACATTAT